AATCATACATTTACTACCTCTAAAAAATCCCTGAAAAAAGTGTAAAAAGCAAGATTTTGGAAGAGTACCTCTGCTAAGGTCTGTAGCAAAAAAAATTTGCCATATTAAAAAATTTATGAAAGTTGCACTTGCACACATGTGTTGGCTTGAAAATGTAATTGATGGAATTTCTGTATCTCAACCCCCCACAAAAAAATGGCAGCCAATTCCATAAGACCGGATAATAAGGGACACCCCGGGCTACCCCCCAGTGTAATAGGGGACAACCCTAAAATGCATTTACAGTAGAACCTGTATAAGCTAAAGCTCCAGTTAACAAATAATCAATCAACAACAAAAATTTCAAGTACATTTACCTTGCTCAGCAAAAAAATTTCGTTTAAGGAAAAATTAATGCATCATTGGTATTTGGTAATCACAAAATTGTGCATAGAATGTCATATGTTGAATTGTACCTCAATTGAGAACCAGGCAACTTAAAAGAAAAATAATTAGCCTAAACTATGATTTATTTTTGTAAAAAATATGATGGTTGTTACTATACTATTCCCTTCTGTTTCAGGTAGGTATGTTTTTCACAATCTTCTTTTCTTATAGCAAATTCACTTGACTCAATTAAAATGGTGTGAAATAGCTTAACAAGTTGTCGTCCTGTAAGCTTTAGAGAATTAGAAGTAATTAGGATGCTTTTTATTTGAATCTGACACCTTATTAATAGCTATAGCATAGAGGAATTTTTTCAAAGATGCCATTTCCATACATTTACAATAGCTTTTTCAGAGAGCTTTAAGATGAGCCCAAACTTGTTTGTGAAATGTTTCATCTTTCATGGTATGATGATAAGAAGTTATTAACAAATAAGAATGTTACCGTCCCTTATTACCCCATTTGACAGTAACATTCTTTACAAAGGAAGTCTTGGTACATGAAATTTAGAACACATAATGATAATGATACTAATTATATACTGGGGCCTGGGCCTAGCAAACTGATCCCAATAATTATTATAATGTTCCTAGCAACTTAGCAAGCTGCTTAAACTGGTACTGCTCATCCCTAAGCAAGCATTTATAATAATGCTGATGAAACGTGAATTTTTTTTTTTAATTGATTTGTAGGCTTTGGGTATGCCGGTAGCACACCTCGCTCCGAGCCTGAGGGCTCACCACAAGTCCACAACTGGCCCACGCCCCACCTAGTCTGGAAAAGTCCTATTTTTGTCTGAAATATCGCGGCTCTAATATCATATAATTTCAGTAGGTATGAAATCTCGTAACATTCTTTACAAAGGAAGTCTTGGTACATGAAATTTAGAACACATAATGATAATGATACTAATTATATACTGGGGCCTGGGCCTAGCAAACTGGTCCGGGCCGGGGCGGCGGCCATAGTGGCAAACCAGAGCTTCTTTAGAATCAGTTCATTTTTAATTTCCTCATTTACTCAAGATTTGAACCAATTTCTTAAGTATGATAATGCTGGTATCCAGGATACTTTACTGGTCTACTCATAGGACTCAAAAATGAACTTGAGGGAGAGTTTAAAAAACTCTCTGCTTTGCCACTACCCTGCACTACAGGTCCCAATAATTATTATAATGTTCCTAGCAAGCTGCTTAAACTGGTACTGCTCATCCCTAAGCAAGCATTTATAATAATGCTGATAAAACGCGAAATTTTTTTTATAATTGATTTGTAGGCTTTGGGTATGCCGGTAGCACACCTCCCAGACCCAGCCTGAGGGGAGTGAGGGCTCAGCACAACTGGCCCACTGGGGTTTTGGACACTTCACTTCTAGATATCTTTACTTTCTAGCACCTCCACCAGTCAGTGCGGCAGTAAATAGTGAAAAGAAAAGGTACAGTTAGGCTTGGTAGAATATTTACAGCCTGGTCACCATATTGCAGTTAAGCAAATATTGACCAAGATGTCGATGGCAGCAGTGCGTAAAACGTGAATGAAGCATTTGCCCAAAAATTGAAACGTGAAAACGGACTGATGTAAATAAGCCGCCGTGGTGGAAAATTCAGAAAACAAGATTTCCGGAAATCAAAAAATACTTCAGGTTCAGGTATGCGAATTATAAGCGTGTTATATACGTGTTATATTATAAACATGTTATAATAATAAACGTGTTGTTAAACGAGTTATGCTGCCTGAGCTAGACTGGGTTTATGAGGAGCACTAACCCTTTATTTGCTACTTATAAACATCCAGCATATTACGACGCACAGCAATAGCACCAATGCAGCTCCCCACTGTTTAAAAGTATTTTCGTCTTACCAGGAGTAAGGCAAGAAGAATTTCGACTCGAGTAACTTTTTTCTAGGCAAATTGGCGAACTTTGACAGCGGACTCATACGCAAAAACACGTTTCGGACAATTTACGGCCGGACTTGCGGCCGATCTCGCGGCCGGTCTCACGGCCGGTCTCACGGCCAATCTCCAAATTCAATTACCAAGGAATATCTCCCAAACTAATGAACACAGCTCGATGAAACTTGATACCGGCATTCATTTGGCCCTAGCGGTGATGCTTAGCTCGTGAAAAAGTTCCATTTCACCTGCATTCGTGAGCTATGGAGCAATTAAGGCCGAAATTTGCAGTGGCCAGGAAATTTCTTACCAGATTTGAACGAAACTTTGAATGCACAAACCTAACCTTCCAACGGTGATGTTTAGCTCGTTACAATTTTTTCGAATTTTTCTTCGTTTCCGAGTTATACGGCTATACTCTTTGTCAATGCTTATTTAAAATCGGCCTTAGAAATGCCTTTCGTTTACCCTTATGTGGGAATAGTTCTTGAACGAAAACAAAATCGAAAAAAATTTTCACAAGCTAAACATCACCGTTGGAAGATTAGGTTTGTATATTCAAAGTTTCGTTCAAGTCTGTTTAGTAGTTAAGGAGAAATTTCTTTGTCACTGCAAATTTCGGCCGTAATTAGTTGCTCTATAACTCATAAATGAAGGTGTAATGGAAAAAATTCGCGAACGAAGGTAAAACCAGCGGTGCGTACAGCGCTCTGACCAGCGGTGCGTACTGCGCCCTGACCAGCGGTGCGTACAGCGCTCTGACCAGCGGTGCGTACTGCGCCCTGACCAGCAGTGCGTACTGCGCCCTGACCAGCGGTGCGTACAGCGCCCTGACCAGCGGTGCGTACTGCGCCCTGACCAGCGGTGCGTACTGCGCCCTGACCAGCGGTGCGTACAGCGCCCTGACCAGCGGTGCGTACTGCGCCCTGACCAGCGGTGCGTACTGCGCCCTGACCAGCGGTGCGTACTGCGCCCTGACCAGCGGTGCGTACTGCGCCCTGACCAGCGGTGCGTACTGCGCCCTGACCAGCGGTGCGTACTGCGCCCTGACCAGCGGTGCGTACTGCGCCCTGACCAGCGGTGCGTACTGCGCCCTGACCAGCGGTGCGTACAGCGCCCTGACCAGCGGTGCGTACAGCGCCCTGACCAGCGGTGCGTACTGTACCCTGACCAGCGGTGCGTACTGCTTCCTTGTTGCGGCCTCCAGTGAGTGAAATCATTCGGTAGCTGCGGCTTAATCGATCGCAGAGAGCAGCGCCGGGCCACTTGTCTGGGATCACTTTTAACATAACAATTCTCACGTGACAAAAAAAAAAGAAAAACAATGGAGATCCCAGACAGCGGCAGCGGTCGCGCATTGCGCAAGACGGCAGGCTATCTTAACTGCTTTCGCTGGTCATTAGGAAGGCATCGTCTTGTTGTAATCATTCTAATGTTTTTCGAAGGCTATGCTACTACGAAGCATTACCAAGTGAAAATTTACAGACGCGTCAGCTTCTGATTTGGATTACCAGAAGCTGGGGCGACCTTAAATTTTGTTATGGTATAGATAGTCTACAAAAATATCACATTTCCCGTTCGGAGTCACGATTTGATTTTTCTGTTATTAACTTTTTATTACTAAACTAAAGATAATAATTGACTGTGAACTCAGAATTTTGTGAGAAAATTCTACAATATCTTTATACTGTCAATCGAATACATACAATCCATTTATTAAATATCCATCATAGCAAGATTTATAAACATTGCATTATCAATTTAAAGACTATCTTAAAACATCCAGCCTGATTCAAGTGCAGTATCGAAATATTTAATCTGATTCAAGAACAGTTTATAAATATTTAACTGTATTTTTGTCTTGCATCAAAATATTTGGCTTGTTTTAAATTTATCATATTGATAATTTTATTACAATATTTAATATTGATAGCTTGATTTAAGCACGGTATCAGAACACTTAACCTCATTTAGGTACTGTATAAAAAACATTCAGCCTGATTTCCGTGCAGTGTAGAGTCTCAATTTTTCAAACTGCAGAGTCAATTTTTTTGTCTTAATTAGACTTAATTAGAGCATCAAATCATTAAGCCTGATTTAGATACAGTATCAACGCTGTAGCCTGATTTAGTCATATTATCAAGCTAGTGATAAACTGATAATATATTCATCTTTCATTACGTCTGGAACTGAGCAGGAAATACCATAGAGGAACCTTGTACAGGTGAATTTCTGAAACACTTTCAGTACCGTAGACTGATGGAAACAAATAAAGCAATATTATAAACGTCGTCGATGCTAAACTTCCATCCACTTTTACCTAATAACGAAGGAATGAACAACGTACTTGCATCGTAATTTGTACTTTACAGCTTCAATTTGGATACATTCTCGTAGTAATATTGATGACTGTAATATCCTTACACACTAGCGATCACACAGACCACAATGTGTCCGGGCCCCTCGTGTCAAGACTGAAACTTGGGCGCTCACTTGTCTCGCAGAGTTCCGCCTCGTGCATTTGATTGGCAGCAGGAAGACCAGAAGATTCTTGCCGTATTGTTCTGGTTTTGCATGACGTTCGTTAATTGAGAGCAGATAATTTTCTCACGCTGCAGGTGAAGCTGGGAGTTGTATAAAAGAGGTTTACTTCACAGAAACCACTAGTGTTCCACCGCCAGACAACGAACTGACTTCGCGTTAGCCATGTTGTCGGTGCTCATTGTAAGTTTATTGTGCGAACAGTTAATATTAAACGGCGTTCAGAAAAATAGCGCTCCTGTTTTATCTATAGGGTTTCTAGTAATTAAAAACTTCAACAAAATCTCAATCTCGAACTGTTGAGTTTAATCAAACTATCAACAGGTTATTCTATATATTTTCATCTCTGGTAAGAAGGCCTCATTTAAAACACGTATGATTCTCATATGAAAACCCGTCATCTGCAGTGGATTTATTACGTACAAATATATAAAATATGAATGATGAAAATAATTATATTACTGATGAGTATTACATATTAAAAAGAGGACAGAACGCTATTTGAAACATCAAGTCTTCACAAAAATGATAAATTTTCTTCTCAAAAACGACAAATAGATCATGGTCCAAATGCGATTTGATTAGAAGTGTTTTGGTTCAAACTTCAAAAATTGATATGATGGCTGATGCCACTAAGCTGAAAATTTTGCCAAGTAGGGAGAGATTTAAATCAAATAATAAAAACTTATTATTTAAGTATTAATGCGCCGTCTTTTAACTTTTTTGTCCGAATAATTTCGATGATTCTTGGGAATTAGTTCAGTTTAGTTCCACTATTTGGCAGACTACGAGTGCCATGTGACTGTATTTAGTTGGTGTATTTACTTGGTGAATGTATATGATGTATTTACATGGTGTATATATTTGGTGTATTTACATGGTGTATTTACTTGGTGTATTTACTTGGTGTATTTACACCACGCTTGCCATGTGACTGCGATTTCTTGTTCAAGGCGAGCCACAATTTAGGCTTCGGCCACGAATGTTAAATAACTTAAAATTCGTGAAAAAAATCTATTGAAAATCGTTTTCATGTGACATAATTCGACTATAATTAGACATTCATGCATCAACTTTGTTAATAAGTTTAATTTGCACTTGCAATGGTTCTTTTTGCCAAGTCAGGCTCGAGATAGGGGCTAAGTCATTTATTCGTCAATTTAATTGGAACGTTACAAAGTAATATTTACTATTCTTTCCTACTGTATTTACTTGGTGTATTTACTTGGTTTATTTGCTTGGTGTATTTGCTTGGTGTATTTACTTGGTTTATTTACTTGGTGTATTTACTTGGTGTATTTGCTTGGTGTATTTACTTGGTGTATTTGCTTCTGTATTTAATTGGTGTATTTACTTGGTGTATTTACTTGGTGGCTTAATTTTTACTGACAAATAATTTGCCGGAAGTTAAATGTTTACGTAGTTTACTGCTAGAATCATTAAATTTTTCAAACACATCCTTATGACTATAGACAGCCTATTAACAAATGCTTTTATTTCACACTTTGGCGCGAGGAAGATACTAATTTAGACCGTGTTTTAGGCATATAATGATTTCTAACATTTTTGGCCCTGGTAGGTTACTCTACTGGCTGTGACGGCCGCCGGAGAGGCCCTGGCGCCGGCACTTGCAGGTGGTGGTGCCCAGTCTTCTAAGAGACACGTCCGCTCCATGCGGTGGAGTCCCTGGACCCCCACAAGTCCCAAGTTTGCCCAGAGTAGAAGAGCAGGATACGGTGGAGGAGGTAGTGATGACTCAGGCGGAGGTGTGGTGAAAGTGTACGGCATACAAGGAGCAGGTGGAAACATAGATGGTCGCCGGAAATCCTTTGGTGGAAGCAGCGCAGGAGATGGAGGCGTGGTGAAGGTTTACGGCGTTCAAGGTGCAGTTGGCAGCAGAGGTGATGGTGGAAAAAACTTCGGTAGAGGCGGCGGTGTTGGTGGAGGAGGAGGTGTGGTAAAGGTGTACGGTGTTAGTGGCGGCAACAAGGCAAAAGTTTTCGACAGAGGTTGTAATGGCGTCGGTGGAGTTGTGAAAGTGTATGGGATTAAAGGAGTTGGTGGCAACGGGTACAGCGGTGGAAATGATGGTGCTGGTGGCTTCTTTAAAGTATATGGAGGGCATGGCGGTGGAGGGCACGGTGGTGGAGGAGATGGAGGAGGTGATGATGGTGGAGTGGTGAAAATATATGGAATCAATGGCGGTGCAGTAGGTGGCAGACATTATGGTGGACTCGGAGGAAGTGGATTTGGCAAAGAGGGTGGTGTGGTAAAAGTTTACGGAGTTCGAGGTAACGTTGGAGGCAGCGGCCAAGGTGGAAAATATGGTGATGATGGACACGGAGGAGGTGGAGGCGGTATCGGAGGTGTTGTAAAGGTGTATGGCGTGCAGGGACATGGTGGACATGGTGGTAGTGGACATGGAGGAGGTGGAGGTAGGTGGAGGTGGTGTTGGAGGTGTTGTTAAAGTATATGGGGTGCAAGGAGATGGTGGACATGGTGGTAGTGGACACGGAGGAGGTGGAGGTGGTGCTGGAGGTGTTGTTAAAGTATATGGTGTGCAAGGAGATGGTGGACATGGTGGTAGTGGGAGTGGACATGGTGGCGGTGGACACGGAGGAAGTGGAGGTGTTGTAAAAGTATTTGGTGTTCAAGGCGGAAGTGAAGGTGTGGCAAAAGTTTTCGGTGTGCATGGTCGCAATGGTCATGGTGGGGCAGGTCATGGTGATGGAGGGGTGGTAAAAGTTTATGGAGTCAACGGTGGGAGAGGTGACAGAGGAGGGGAATTATTTGGAACTAATGCAGGCGGGAAATTTTCCTCTGGCAACAGCTTCCATAGTAGAAGAGCACGTAATGGTGTGCAGGGGAAAGGCGCCAGATACGGGCACGATTCCCACGAGTTTTTCCACTCGGACGACAACGAAGAAGACGATTGGTGAGCGCTCGTAGTCCTTGTCGTGCTTTCACATCTTGTTGAGCAAATCAAAAAGCAAGAAATTTGCAGGTGGTTAGTTGAAGGTTGTCAGATGATCCATCTGAATTCGTAGTGCTTCCTCTGATTCAGACCCTTGAATTGTTTAAAATATTTCAAATATTCTATAATACAAGACCTCAATAGCATCCTGAAAAGACAAGGCCTTGTGAGCGGATTATACTTCAGCAGATTTTTTGCGAACATGAAAGTTCATAAATCGTCATTTATAGTCTGTTAACTAGACGTGTCTTCTTGAGGTTTTACACTAATTGAAAACTAATATAACGCCAGTGATATGCTAATTGTGATCTCGTTTATTTCTCGGGTCTTTAAATTCATTATCAGCCTTCACCGAATGAGTCTGCCATATGTTTCACAGAATAACGATATACAGAATAACGAATAACAACGATATTCCCAAATTTAGTTTAAAAAACAATCTGAAACTTGGTTTGCGATTTTGAATAGCTGGTACGTGGACATTCGAAAGTCATATTAAAATGTTTTGTTTTACTTAGGCTGTCCCATTTTATCACTAATCATTTCTGTCATGATCGTACTCATGTAAAAGAATAAAAATGATATTTTTCGGGAATAATCGTATTTTTTGATCCTTCTAAATGCTAGCGAAACACTGAACCGTGCATTGATTGGTTTCATCATGCAATTCAAATTCGTTTTGCGACAATGTTTGCTTTCTTCATATAATAATCACCTTAATAATCATTAATTGGTATCATTGTTATTAGTCAGGTCATCGTTTCTGTAAAGTAAAAGGAACCATGCAAAATTATACGAATGAAAATTTTTCCAGTTGTTTTTGTTTCATTGCATTACATATATGAATTCAAAAGTTAGACTTCTGGGCACTCTAGGAAAATTTCATTCTATCAGACCACCAACGAGATACAGCAAGCATCTTTCCTCTTTACAATTTATTTAGGCTCATTCTGCGATGTTAAGAATCGGCGACAGGCCTACGGCCTAATGAACGCTGAAACCGCTATTATTATTATTATTATTATTAATATTAATATTATTATTATTATTATTATTATTATTATTATTATTATTATATAAGAAATATTCGTGAACCGCCGATTTAACGATTCCCTTTATTTGCAGTGCGCGTCGTGAATGATCCATCTTTTACGAGGAATATTAAGAAATGCATAGAGAGTATCATTTAAACTCAACAGTTTAATTTATTTATAGTGTGCGTCGGGAGATGCTTAACTACACGATATAGCTTGCTGGAACTCATATATAATTGTTTGGGCAGCCTGAACTCCATACAGTGGCTGCAGAGCAAAGAACAGGCAGTGCAACTTGAACGATTAATCAGTTTTTGTTAATATACGTTGTAATACTGATCAAGTGGGAATTTAATAGTAAACGAATAAGTTCTTTTAAATTTAAATGAAACCCAAATCGTATAGTGCAAAAACTTAATTGATTAATCAGTTTTTGTTAATTTACGTTGTAATACTGATCAAGTAGGAATTTAATAGTAAACGAATAACATCTTTTATATTTAAATGAAACCCAAATCGTATAGTGCGAAACGTCAATCAGCGTTACTGCCATAGCCATCGCAAAACCCGTTCTAAAAATTTTGCGTGCCGGTCACCAATGACATCAATATATTAATTAAATAAAAGTGAAATAAGACATTTGATATAGTGGGTATATTAAGGTACATAAATATCAACATCGGCGTAAACATAGTAATTGTTTCACAGACAAGATTGGAAAATATTTAGAAAAAGCATAACATATAACTACATAAATATTGTAGCATCAGTTGAATTAATTGAAAAAAAGATGAACAACTATAAACGTTACAGCTAAGTTATCAAATTTAAACTCGGTTCTTTGCAATATAATTATCTCAATAGAATAGAATAGAATAGAATAGAATAGAATAGAATAGAATAGAATAGAATAGAATAGAATAGAATATAATAGAATAGAATAGAAGTGTCGGCGTTGAAGAAATAGGCCCATGACCTGTTGCCGATTCTTGAATTTTTCGTGACTTGATTCACAAGGGATCCGCCTTTGGAACCCGATCTTTCCATAACTGACGATTCCATAACTGACGTGAGAACTGAACGAATGACATAGATCTGTCTCGATAATATCTCTACCTCTACTTTGTCGTGCTTGCAAGTTTCATTCAGTATGAACTTCTTTAACCGCATTATTGATCATTACTCATTAATCAAATCGGTTGTCTCATTAAAGAAACTCATTCACTTCCATTGCTGTTCGTGGAGTAAGTTCTGCTAGCGAATCGTTCATGACGTTAGGTTTCTCAAAGTCACCAAAATATTGTTGATCATCATTGAAATCTGCATGCATTTCGTAGTCCAAATTTTTCAAGTAAGTGCATTATGAAATCATCAGTCTTCATTAATCATATATTCAATATGCATTGGTCTATCTAATGCAATCTCGAACGACATGATCGAACATTACGCAATTTAATAACAATTAGATTTTCGTCATCACATGTTCCTATTTGCATTTTTTGATCGACTTCTCCTTCTGATTTCATCATCACACTTTAATCATGATCACATAATTTTCGTCATTCTCAATTTAAACTGAACAGAAATTTGCGAACATGTTACATCTTATTAACATATTGATGCAAAATGTCGCAACAAAATTATCTAAGCATTGTTGCTGTGTGTACAGTACATTCTCGTAGAAAAAAAAGTCAACTAACTAAAAAGAATGAGTATCGTCGCGAAGAATTAGTAAAAGCCCCTGAATCTTTCTCCATCTGCCTCATACAAAGAAGCTAACTGATTTTGATTTCCACAAGCGTCAGCACTTCTTGTGAGCTGAACTATCTGCCCTGCATCTACAATTCTACATCTACCAGGCTTTGAATGGCGTATCTACTCTTGACTGTTACAATTTACAATAACTTTACATTTTGTTACAATAATTTTACAGTTTGTTACAATTTGTTACAATAATTTTACAGTTTGATACTCTACTTCTAGAGATTTAGTCTGAAATAAGATACTAATCTCAATTTACTAATTCATTACTTTTACAGTTAATGCAATTGATTATTTAATATAGTTTATCTTCATTAATTAAAAAAAAAGAAACTAATGAGTAGAATAATGAAGTAATAAAGTGCAATAAAAATCTCAAAAGTCGTTGGTTTTACAATGAAATCGATATCGCAGAGTGAACATAATATTGTTAGATTGTTGAGGCAAATTCAATGAATAAATAGGAGAAAACCTAAGGACGAATAAAATTTATAAATAAACTATAATAATTAATAAAATTCGAATGTCAAAATATAAGCCGTGTGTCTTCCTATAGCCCTTGTCTAGTAAAACAGTGATCAAGTCTCAAGTTCGTAGCCTATCTGAAATAGATTAATGGAACACAAATTAAGAACTTGTATTAACCTAACCCTAACAAAGCAAGATATAAAACACAACAAATAAGTAATAAACTGATAAATAATAAAATTCACGATCATCTATAAAACCACCACTGAATCGACATATAATTATCACGCTTAAAGCAAAGCAAATGCTACACGTATACCTCCGTGTTGGATCAAAAAACAATGGAAAAGTACATAGAATTTCTCGTTAAGGTCACATCGGACCTGAGTTAAAAACAAAATAAAATTACACAACAAACAAAACACCATTGCAATGCGTTCCCCAACAACATAAACATTATCAATAAAGTAAGCTTGTAGTGTTAGCTATATTATAATAACACAATAACTGGGAAAGCTTTCGCTTCCTCTAGCAAACGTCTCTGTAGGTACGTTTTCAGAATTCGTGACAAGCGTTTCTAGACTCTTATGATTTCTCATCGCGGAACTAACTTCGAGACTTACTTTGATGTACAGTGACGTGACCGCGACACGTGGTTGAGTTTCTGGATCGCGGCGTGTTGACTGCACCTACTGATATGCTCATTATACAATATTACTGCATTCATACGCGTCAAACTATTATACGCGGCAATGTATTGTGCGCGGCAAAAATTGGTCGAAATTGAAACTTCGAGGCACACTCAGACTTGTGAATTGTAGGTAAGCCATATAAAATACCAGGGCATGAACCAGAGGGATGAAGTTTAGTACAAGTTTCAGGTTAAAAGGCAGAGGAACCTTCAAGTTTATGCAAGAAGTTAATGCTTTCGTCTTTGATTTTCAAAGCTGTTCTAGACATCTGATCTGTAATTTCAGCAAATCTGGAATGATCGGTGATGAGTGAATTTGACCAGGTCGTTATTTTTGGCTAGGTCTTTCGTGTCTTTTTTTCTTTTAAAAGCGTTTCACGAAGCTGAAAGACAGAGCAGACAACTTCATAGGACTTTAAATCATATAAATGGCAGTACGCTAAACTTTGCAGGTTGCCTAAAAATTCGGGACGATTAGGAGTAGAAACATTTTTCATTCTAAGAGCGAGTCACAATAAGCCAGAGGCTAAGAAACAGAAATTTATTAAATTTCAACTTAAAAACGGGTAAAAGAAAAGCGAGGCCAAATACCTGCAATAATTTAACGCGGGGTTCTAAGCTGAAGGAACGAAAGTTGAAAACTTCATCATCAGGGTTGACAGGATGAATATCGTTGTGGATGCCGAGGTTATGAAGTTTCTTCTGATGAGTCTGACCAATAATTTTCTTGAATCCACATCCTCGGCATCCACAACGAGAAAAAGTTTCTGGGCTATGATTTAAAATTTAAAAGTTCATTTAATTGACCGAGCCATTGAAATCCAATTTTTCTTTTGATTTCCTCTGAAAATCAATTGTTCTGTACTCCAGGAAATTGAATCGGGTGCAAAACTTTCACCCATTGTTTATGGTCATTGAAGTCCCTGCATTGAGAGTCACAGTCATAGTGCATGACCTACTGGCATTTGCTCGGAAATTCTGACGAAGGTTATCAAGGTTAAAAGTATAGTAATTATTCAACGGTTGGTATAAAAAGCTTCATTTGGGATATGGAACAAACACTTATTTCAGAGCTGTCGAAGTGAATGCAAGTCATCTCTTCCATCACATTGTCATGGCGTCATTTAAAGTAAGAGATACATTCTAAAAGTCATAAATTGTATAAAGTTTTTTAATACTGTGTAATTTACGTGCGAAAATCGCTTTGCGAAATTGAAATATGCTCTTGTTAAATAATCATTCAGAATAAGGCTCAAGAAATGAAACTTTTAAAAGCTCAAGAAATGGAACCTTTAAATTCAGGGCCGAATTATCACAATGTTGACTAAATTAATGCAAATATAAATATTGTACAGTTGTACAAATATTATAATTTGTAGCTGATAACAGAGCTGGAAATAAATTTACCAGAAAATTTACAGTGCGAGGTAATATGCGGCGATAAAATTCACGATTGTAACTGAATTTTTCTGTATATCGATTAATATGAGTCTCATAGATGCGCTCATTGTTTCACATATAAATTAAAAAATTCTAAACAAAATTAGATCACTGTTGTTAGAAAGCGATAACTATAGACTATAGAAAAATGCTATAAATGTTACTATATAAATGTAATTGTAAATTGGTTCCTTTAGATTCCTCTGACCCTCGCGGTGCTGCTGATGGCCTTCATCGCTATAGCAGTGGCCGTACCTGGTGGATTTGGTCACCACGGCGGACACAGCTTTAGCCACCACAGCGGACATGGTTTTGGCCATGGTAATGGTGGATACGGCAAAGGCCACGGATTCAAAGGAGGATTCGGCGGGGGTGGATTTGGGAAAGGATTCGGAGGAGGATTTGGCCACGGGCATGGTGGTGGCTATGGCCACTAAGTGAGGCCGAAGAGTTATTGTGTTCTTGTTATTTCATTACGCATGCTATTAAGGGAATGAAACGAGCAAGTGTGCAAATTCAGCCTAACTCCTACCTTAAAACAAACTGGTGTCATGGTTGAGCTTTTTATCATGATACTGGAATAAATAATTTTTGAGATCACAGATACAATATGAGTATCTTCTTAAAGTTTCAACTACTGACACTGATCAGTGGGTTATCGCAATTGTGTTCAGTTGGCAGTTGCGTTGGGTATTGTACCCGGGCTTTAGAGAGTCAGTTTTAAAGTTTGAGCTACTTGTGTATGGAGTTGGATAAATGAATATAAACGATAAATGTTAATGTCTTTTACTCATCGATGGTTTACGAAAAAACATTGTTCAGCATTGTTGAGGGTTCAAAAGAAACATTAATGTGGGACAGAAAAACCTGTATTCCGAATATCTTAGCCATGAAGTCAAAGTCATAGACTAAAAAAAATATATTTGTACAGGCTAACAGGGATGCCATTAGACACTGACAACGTTCTGAAAGTGTTGGAGCGCTTAAGAATGGTTCAAGTTAAGAATAATTAAAAAATAATTTAGTGCACCACGTGTGTCCATCTAGATTTGTTCCCTCAGTACATAGGGAATGTATGGATAGAACTTAAGTTAATGGGACGCAAAGTCTCCTCAGAGAAAAAATTTAAGTCAATGTTAGCATGCAAAGTGCAAAGACGATGTCAATTACGATTATCCAGTTTCCGCGCATTTATCGTGGCATAGTGATTTATCGACAGTATCTTTATTTTGTCACAAACAACCTGTCTACGAAGAAAAAAAAAACAAAAAAAGCCTGTTAAAAAGTTTTTTCGAGCGTACTGGTCTCGGTGTAATGATTAAAATTTCAGTTTATTCGGTGACGAGAGTCAGTATGTAACTTGTAGAGAAGTTGGAGGCCACACGTTTGTATTGATCTGACCATCACATACCGATCTGTGATGCATTGAAGTCTTAGTACACCATATCAGTCATCGTACACCAATAATCAATTTCTATTTTACGCATTGAAGAAGTTTTACAACATTGTTTGTAATACTTAATTTACTAAGCCGAGTACAAACGAGTTCAAGAACAGACTAGATAAAGCTATGGAGAAATATATGTTCAGACTTGAAATGCCTAGTACCATATCGAACCCGGTGGAAGTCTAGTAGCTATTTCAAACCATCGTAAGTTTGGAAAAGTTCCGGACAAAGGACGTGTTTTTAGATCTCCTGTGGACAAGTCACGAAAAGTACAAGAATCGGCGACAGGCCTCATCTGGCCTACTCTTCAGCGCCGACGTCACTATGCCAATATGCCATGCTATGCCTCTTGAACTACGACAGATAAAAATATTGATCGAAGAAATCGAAAGATATATTATTGTCTTGGAACATATTCCAAAAAAAATTCTGTACTATACTATAATGCTGACAAGGTCCCAGAAGGATTACTAGAATTTGAAACAAGAACCAACACCAGGGGCCACGGCTATAAACTAAAAAAACAGCGTTGTAACACATCCATGTCATGATGCTATGTTATACTATACACAATAGATAGACACTTCTATTCTATTCTATTCTATAAAAAAATGCTATACCATGATGCTATGTTATACTATTCACAATAGATCTGACCTTATCACGTCTTTCTCGGAAGCAGGAAGACAAAAAAATTGAGTATCGAGGAAACTTCAGCTGATTGCTTTCGCAAGTTAAATAGGGTAACATGGGGCAGCGGGCCCTCCCTTTTCTTAAACTAAATTTTTGATGAAGTTTTAATTGATACGAGGTAGTTCTAGGTTTTGTTTAAACTTTAAAGTTACAACTAGTGAAGAATGTATGATGTGAATTACACGCTATAGAGTTATTCAATTTTTAATGAAACACTATTTTGTAAAATTGTCAAAATGGGCCCATTGCCCCACCCCTGGGGCAATGGGCCCATGGGCTTGAGGCAAGGCACCCACCCTTTATCCTTTTACCCCTATTGCATGTTTTTTATTTAAACGTGACAAAACAACACAAACAAAATATATTCGTGGCCTAAAAAATCTATCACTGACGTAAGAAAAATATTTCCTCGACAAAAAATATATATCCTTGATTTAAAAAATATATCCTTGCCATAAAAAAATCATCTTTAACGTGAAAAAATGTATCCTTGACTAGAAAAAATATATTTGCTTAATCAGATAAAACTTCGTTCCATTTTCGTCCAACCGTTGAATCTACCGTCCGTTGAAAAGATTTGACCAAAAGGCCAGTCTAGCCAAGAAAAGTACAAGAATCGGCGACAGGCCTATCCGGGCCTATTCTTCAATGCCGAAGATACTATACTATACTATACTTCTCCAGATATTGTGTGCAGGGAATTCGTACCTAATCGTGATTTTAGCCAAAACCATAAAAATTCGTCAACTTTTGGCTCATTGATGTTGGCTGAAGTCAATTTTCGGCAAGGCCAATAACTCGATAAGGGGTCATAAATACGCATAACTAGAAACTGGTATAAAACTGCAGCCCCGAGGAGACAAATAAAAAATATGAAATCAAGATGTAATATGTAATTCAAAATGCTAGTCATAGTTTTGAAAAGCTCATTGAGACAAATTTAATGATGCATAACACAAGACTTCACATAGGGGTATTGAGCCCACCATATATGTGCGCTTTGCCCCGTGACACGCATGGGCCCGTTGCCCCACCAGGTATCATTCCTTTATATCGGGTCAACATTTTATTTTAGAAGCTAGTAGTCTAAACTTGAACTCAAAATTATCCCTATAAATATTACTTTCAAAATTTAATTCACAGTAATTTCAAAAGCTTCATGTACAGTAATTGAAAATAATTTTATTTAGATGCAATTAAAAAACTTTAATATGGGCTAAAACAGTTATTTGCAAGTAACTTAACAACGCAAACTCTTAGCAAAACGTAGAGCCGCACACTTCATCCCAGTGAAACTGTCGACTGGCGTTATAGCGCACGGACCAATATCTGCCATACATAGCGGGAAACCCGCTATATGGGCCCATGACCCGCAGTGGTCCCTTTGCCCCTTGTTACTCTAACAAATACGTCGATGACACCTTTTTTTATTTCATGTATCATTCTCATGATGAACTTTTCTTTAAGTACCCAAACTTTAAACATAATTCTCTGAAATTTATTATGGATCTCGAATCTAACAATAGTTTGTCCTTTCACGACTGCAATATTGCTAAATTTAAGGGCCGTTTTCAGAGTTCTGTTCTCCGTAAATCGACTTTCACTGGCCTAAGCACCAGCATTTTTGGCTTTGTTCTTTCCGATTCAAGTTGAATGGACTTCAAACACTATTACACTGGGGCTTTCATAATTGTTCTACATTTAATGCAATGCAAACTGAATTTTAATTTTTGCGTAATATCTTCTTGCTTATTGGATTTTCTTCTAGCCTCTTGTTTATCCAAATTAAGAAATTCATGTCCAAGCGATGCAGTGAGGTTTTCCAAGATCTCGATAATAGGAACAATATCGCCATGTGTCTAAAGCTATGTCAAAAGAACTATAAGATTTGTGTATTGATCTTGATCTTTTATAGGTGAATAATTTTAAAATAGGTTCTTTCTTTAGGTTAATATGGCATCCTGCCTTATCAAATGCAATCGTCCCCAGTTCATGAATATAGTTGTGCACGGTGTGCAGCTGCGTACTTTGGGATGACGTCATACAATTTTTTTTCTAGGGTAGCAGAGCATAAAGGGAGGAGTTGTAGGACAGAGGGAGGGCGCGTTACTATCGCGCCTCTCTCATCCGGCTGTGCGCACTCACGTTGAAAAGTGCAACGTTCCAGTGTACGATAGAGATTTTAAGGTTTTGGTTTCTATTTCTGGTGCTTCTGATCTGTGTATTTTAGAATCAATATGTATTGTCAAAAAGAAACTTAGTTTTAATGCTCCCTTTTATTCATCAATGTTGGTGGGACCTAAAGCAATATCTTCTGAGACCAATAGCTCAAGATCATTGTTCATGATCGGAGGAATACATGGCATTATGGTATTCTTGATAGTTACTTGCATATCGTTACCTATAGCAACAATTAATCCACTGGAAATTGTGAATAAATTGGATTTGCCTAATTTTGATTTTACTCTCATACTCTGTATTTTGTTCTAATTTTGACTGAATTAATTTCTGATTGTTGCTTTTTTCTAGATTTTTCGAACTGATGATGGAGCTGGGCTCCGAAATATTTTAAATGGAGATAGGGTGAATTTGTGCTGAATTTTCTTCGTTTCCACAGATTTTTAGTAAACTTGCAATTCAAGAAATCTAGTGACATTTCCTACAAACAAATACAATGGAAATATTTTTTACCAGTCCAACTGAATCATTCGTCATGTAGTCAACGCATATCAACGAACCTTTCATTCATGACACACAAGTCAGTCACAGGGCGAGACGTGGCTATTGCTACTATTTCGCCAAGATGGTGAACAATTTATTTGTGAAATTTACTAACATAACGTGATGCGTTCATTAAATGATTCAGTTCTCATTAACTACGGTATTGAGAAACACGTTTGTTATTTTTTAGAAACGAACTTGCTGGATTAAACAAAACATGTTTTTTTGCAGGATACTAGTCTAATCTAATCTAATCTTGGTACCTAACGTTTTATGCAGCACGAACTTTATGAACATTCATTTTGTCCAAATGGAGGAACGATTTGTGCACATTTGGCAGTGGAACAGTTATTACAATGACTGTATACACGTTTACCCGTGCGAGCACTTGATGTAGAACTACGATGAAATAGGTTACTGCTACTGTTTTTAGCGCATTTTCTCATTTATGGAAAAAATGCGCTATTGTGCTGGTCATGTCCGTTTGTCTGTCCGTCCGTCTGTCTGTCCGTCCGTGACTTCACGTTTTTGTCGACGAGAAAATGCGCTAGCTTTTACTCACTGCAGCAAGTACTGAGTAATATTTTTTTTAAGTTTCGCTCACCTTGCTGTCAATGCGTTGGTTTCTATTAACGATAAGTTTCATTTAAAAAAATATAGAAAAATGAATTAATCTAATCTTGGTACCTAACGTTTTATGCAGCACGAACTTTATGAACATTCATTTTGTCTAAATGGAGGAGCGATTTGTGCACAGTTGGCAGTGGAACAGGTATTACAATGACTGCATACACGTTTACCGGGGCAAGCACTTGATGTATTCTACGATGAAATAGGTGACCGCTACTGTTTTTAGCGCATTTTTCCATTTATGTAAAAAATGCGCTATTGTGCTGGTCATGTCCGTTTGTCTGTCCGTCCGTCTGTCTGTCCGTCCATGACTTCACGTTTTTGTCGACGAGAAAATGCGCTAGCTTTCACTCACTGCAGTAAGTACTGAGTAATATTTTTTTAAGTTTCGCTCACCTTGCTGTCAATGCGTTGGTTTCTATTAACTATAAGTTTCATTTAAAAAAATATCGAAAAATGAACTGCTACCATTGGTGAGTGAAATAAATGGACACAAGTTTTGACGCCAAAAAAATGGACTGCAATTACATGAAAGCGAATATAATCACAGGCTCTAGCGTGACCTCATTAAATAAGCGTCTACAATGAGACCATTGTTATGACGTAACGCTTGTATAAAAGCGGACAACCTGAGACTCAATCCCGCAGTCTCTCCATCCCTGTCCACCTCACACCACCGATCTGCGGATCAAATTGCGACGATGGCTTCATTTAAGGTGGATAAAGATTTTTCTATAATTATTGTTTGAGAGTCACTTTGGATTTATTTTCTGTATATTTTGCTCTAGCAAACTGTTAGCACGATGAATTAGTTGTATTGAACTTTAAACTGTCATGATTGCAACAATGTTACTCCCTGCTTTACAATAATGCAATAATTAGGAGGAACTGGTATATTTGAGTTATCTTAGAATGTTTACTATGAATCGTTCTTTGGAATTAAGGAGAATAATCTGCCGACAGATCATCATTTTGCTGTGCCTGCTGGCTCTGGCCTTAGTAGCTCCGGCCGTGGCCAATCCTGGTGGATACGACAACGACGACGATGGACACGGGCATCACGGAGGACATGGGCATCACGGTGGACACGGGCACCACGGTGAACACGGGCACCACGGAGGACACGGGCACCACGGTGGACACGGGGGATTTAGTGGAAAAGGAGGACATGGTGGATTTGGTGGACATAGTGGACACGGAGGGCATGGGAAAGGCCACGGCGGGTTCAGCAATGTCCATGGACATGGAGGTCATGACAAAGGCGGTTTCGGAAAAGGACATGGCGACCACGGCTACTGAAGTAAGAGACTTATTCATCAATGTTGGTGGGATCTAAAGAGATATCTTCTGAGACCAATAGCTCAAGATCATTGTTCATGATCGGAGGAAAACGTGTTCGCATTGTGGTATTCTTGATGTGTACTTATGTATCGTCAACTATACATGATATTATCTTTTCAATTGTAACTTATCATGTCAAAGAAGTGAACGCAAACAAAATCCATGTGCCGATAAATGTCTTCAGAAAGATAAAAATAAATGAATATAAGTAAAGTATTTTCATTAATCGAAATTCTAAGCCGTTTCTGTTTTTCCACAGAACCAGATTAAGAAGGATCGAGTTTCGTCTCATACTCCAGCTGAACGCGTCACTACCAAGGATTCTCTGAGGAAATTTCAACCGTTGTTGAATTGCCTCAAGAAATAATGTATCTCCTAGTGATATAAAAGAATATAATAATAAATTATTTACATTAAATTTCATATTTTTTACATTTTAATTCTCGAGGAACGCCAGGCTTAGCAATGTCCTCAAACGAAGTCCCCAAATAGAATACAGAAACTTTTAAAGACTCCGTACCTTCAATCCATACGAAAACAATTACTGTTAACTTGAAACTGAATAACTTGTACGGTATATTTAAATTGCATACGTCACTCAACCATACGTTCCTTCATTTCTAAACGCACTCGCCTAGAGCAAAATGTTACTGGACATTGTTATTAATTTTCGTTAAATGTTTCTGATGATTAAACTAAATAATCTCGCCCAATGACAGATTGGCCGAACTTGGCCACGTAAAAACTTTACTTGAATTTCACAGAAAATTTTCAAGATCGAACCAGTTTCGAATTCGATTCCGGTTAAGATATTTTTATTCTATTCCGTGGGTTAAGATAATTTTAGTTGCGTTTATTTCAATTCACGTCGCAAGAACTTTGTATTTATTGTCTGCAAAACTGTATAGTTGATATGAGTATTGAAGTATTCCATGCGGTCGTGAGGAACTATATGACTTTAAATGTAGAAGTAATTATACAGGCAAAAAGTGCTCCCCCGCTCATAATACATAATTATAAACCCTAACTCTCATTAATTGTAAGGTACTCTCGAGAGGGGAATTGATATGAGATGCTCCTGGTAAATTGTACCACCCTATCATGTTTTGCTAAGACGAGCATGTTTTTAATTTTTCTAAATGATTATCTCGGCTTTAAACAGACTTTTTCAGCTTTAAAATTTCAGAAAGCTTTTAATAATTCACTATTTTTGGCGAATTTTTTGGTTTAAATGGAACATAAGCAAGTGAAATTACTTGTTTAACTTACGCATTAAAATTTCATTCATTTGTTCACAAATAAAATGTCTAAACATTACATTAATAGTCTTTTTCAAGTAATGAAATGAAATTACATAACTTTTTGTCACAGTCTATTTATTCGTGACAGCATATGTTTAAAAAATTACGGCGAAAGAAGCCGTCAATATTGGCACAAGACAAATAGTGGAGGTCGAGAGGTGCGTTCCACCGGTCACAGACGGCCGACGAGAAGTAATAAGTGCTGAAGTTGTATCACCCAACGCCTCCAGCAACGTTCCAGCACAAACACTCGGACTGCTCTGTTGCCCTCACACCGCGTGTACTGATTTGTCCAGGGTCATTAAGTCTTAATTGTGCGAATATTGCAACAATCAAGNGCGTGAACAAGGATGCATACCGAGTAAGGGTTGACCCTTAGCTTGCAATAAGCAAAAACATTATACATTTGTTGACATTAAGTTATCACGGCAATGTTGTTTTAATTAAAATCATCACCTACAGCTGTACATTAAAGTTAAAATTGGAAATCAATCTTGTCATTTTTAACACAGACTAACTCATGAAGACATTTGTTGACGATAATCATAATATTGGGCCAGTCTCAGCATAAAATGTACAAAATTTCATGAATGCTGTATATAATTACTGATTAGGACTTGTATTTATAGTAAGTTGGTCATGAACCAGACTAAATTGGGTAATTTTCCAGATCATTGGTACTTAATACCGGACAAAACTGAGTCCAGTAATTAGTATTAAATTTTTTGTTCCTACAGTAAATATTTGAGCAAAATGAGCTAAATAAACTGTTTCGAAATTTTTAAGAAATAATTCTGGAATATTTTCGTGCTACAGGCATGTAGAAAAAATTGTTTTAAATGTCTAGGTGTCGGATTTGAAATAAAATACTTAAATCTTGTTCAGTAGGCAAAACAGAATATTTTATTAAATCCTAATAATTTCAAACTATTTCGAAGAAGTCCTAATAATTTCAAACTATTTTGTAAAATTATGAATGTTAGGGCATGTTGCACGTTTTTGTAAATTTTGCAGCAATATTTAAATTTTAAAATGAACCTTTTGCAGCACAGTTTGATACATAACTTAATATATTAGCAGCTATTTTTTACCGAGATTTTTATCAAGTGCTGCAGTTTGCATGCACAACCTAAGAAAGGATTGTTCTGCTCGCATATCCACTGTACCATGAAGAAGATGATGAAGATACAAAGCCTATAGCAACCTTTATTCCTCAAGCCTCCTTCTGATGGCTCCTTGGTCCTCCTGACTGAAGGTGGCAAGTGAGACGGCGTTTTCTACTTTTTCTTTGCTGTCATAAAACGTTCCTGGAAGAATAACTTCAATACGGTATCTTAAAAGCGCTCGAACAGTATCTGGCACACGACGTAATGCAACCTATCAGCTTGGTTCTCCTTTCTATTTGCATGAAACTAACCTAGCACCACAAGGCCGCGGATCGAATATGACTTCCGTGACATCGTTAAAATTCATTATTTCTAGCTAACAGAATTTGAGGTTCGGCTTCGGGTAGTAAAGCTAGGTTCTAAGATTAATTGTTATTCGACGATTGGCCGTCCTAGTGTGGCTCTGACAGGCAACTCCCAGAATATAGCTTGCGTTTGCACGTGAGCTTGAGGAAATCTCGCAGTAGTTCATATTAATTGGAAGATGAATGTCTCAATAGCAAAATAAATATCAGCTACCGATATTTTTCTGGGTGTCAAGAAGTATGATAGACTTTTAAAGTGTCGCAATTTTCAAAATTTCCCCTTTATTATACAAGGCAAAATTCATACATTGCAGGATCAGCAACACTTTTTGAACTTCGTCACCAGCTTAAAGATCATGATTGCAAGATGCAAACATTATATTGCTCTGAAAGACTGTGAGTAACAATTCAAGCCATTTTTTATATTCAATACTCTTTCAAGACAAACTTGTATTCAATTCTTAAAGCAAATAGTTGGTGAAAATACTCGAAACCCTTTTTGGCAGGAATCATTGGCAAATAATTTAAGTCATTACTGGTCAGTTCACTTGCATGACGGTCCTTAGTTTTCTTCTGATTTTTTCCAGTGTAATTAATAGGGTGTTGTTTGCTGTCCAAAACATTAACATATTAATTCTTTGTTAACTAATTCTTTGTTAATAGTTGCCAGCCTTTCTCCACTACTAAAGCAGCAAACGCTATGTCATACCGGCTACTTTAAATGGTTATCTCTTGAAAGAGACATTTATAAAGTAAGACATTTTTACAGCTGCTCTATAGTTCTCATACCTTAACATCTACTGCTGTACTACTCGTTTACAAGAGTATCTGGGAATATCTATTCCACGATTCTTATTTCAATGTAACCCAAAGTATATTTGATTAGTGGTTAATTTTTTACTATCGCTTCAAATATCGCCAGTGTTGTTTATTGCTAACCAGAGATTTATTAAAATATAAAATGAATTCGAACTTATACCAACTTGTTATAGGGTACGTTTAAAAGTACGAAACTACACTTTTTATAATTTCATTAAAAATCCATCGATCAGAATTGAGTTGCTAGTCTGACAATAATTATTCACGAAAAGCGACCATTTTTTTAGTATATTCTGATAAAATGCGCACTCTTCCACGTAGTTTGCATTGATAAGCACTACACGCAGCCCGAATCTGCCAGCGTTAAACCGGATTTTGATTTCTTGAAGGGAAAGTTCCACCGAGATTTCCAAATGGAAACACATGAAAATATGACCAACCCATTGATAAATTTCTTGTGATCCTAACATCAAGCCTACTTGGAGAATAAAAATTGAAGAATAAATGTCATAAGATTGTTTAGAATCATATTTGTAATCAGCTTGTGGGTATTTAAATAGAAGTGCCCAACAACATGCAGAAATCTCTGCAATTTCATAATATGAACCTTCGCTCCGATCGTCTTGCTGTGCAACTTTAGTAACCTTAACACCGATAATAGATCAATTCTGATCATAGTCAAGTTTAACAAAATAGCACAACAAAGTCATGCAACATCAAGTTATTGCAAGATATTTTATTAAATTTGTTATAAAACTCTTAAGTCTATTCGGCAGCGTCGTCAGTCGGGACTTTGATTTTTCGATCACTCTACTATAATCTCAATCATCAGTCGCAGTAAGGGAAAGATTGTGAAGGCCCAGAGTGACACTCAATCACGCTGCTAACTGGCAACATTCGGGACTTGACTCGGGATTTCCCTACTTTGATGAATTGGATTGAAACAAATTTTGATGTTATTATTTATTTGATATTTTTCTCGATGAATAACTAAATATCTGATCAAGTCGATTTCATTGATTTCCAGGTGTTAGAAATAATGTTCTTCAGTGTCCTTTGCCCTTCCCTTTGCCCTTGCCTTTGCCCTTACCGGGTTCAGGGAAAGGTTGAGGATTAGGGTCAGCGATGGCACCAACCACCATCATCACCACCACCATAGCGAAAACGCTCAAATTCTGAGGAAAAAGCGATAGATTTGTTAATTAACAATGTCATTTCATATCATGATTGAGTGATTGGTTTTGAATTGCTTCCAATTTTTGACACTGAGCTACCAACTCTCTTATATGCTTTTCAGAACATGGAATCATGAGGCCTGAATATGGATTTGTTTTATATTTTACATTCAGATTTCGTGGCTTCTAATAACAGTCCATGCTGCCCAGATACATGAAATTTTTTACCAAACCCCTGACCAAAATACGGGCCGAGATTTGAAACAAAGTCAAAGTCAAATTTGTGTTCAATCTAAGACTAATAAACATAGATTCGAAAAGGCCTGCTCCATTCTCAATTTACGAGCATGCCCAGCAAGTGCAGTGCTGGAAGGTTTCAAGTTTCATTTCATAGGAAAATTTGAATGAGAAAACTAGAGCGCAATTGTATCTGAATTTGTGGGTTGTGTGAGATGTAGATTGGATTTAAGCTGCAATGAACTCGCATGAGTTCCAAGGAAAAGCTGTAGCTTATATGTCATTATTCAGTCCTCTTAACGATGAATATGAAGACATGGGTCTATAGCATAAAATTGAACGTACTTAATTAGTTTCAATGCTATTTGATTGGCGGTCAATAAAGTATTTCATCTACTCATTATTATAGAAATTA